TTGAACATTTATTGGTACAGGTAGAATCTGGTTTCATGGATATATTGGTTATTAACTGATGCAGAATTGGGAAAAGAATGGCCAAAATGGCAAAAAGGCTTTAGGTTATCAAATTAATCCTGAAGTATGGAAGTTTATGGATTGGAAAATTCAATTTATTTCTGAGAGAACATATAGCTAAGATGATCCACCCAAGGTTCTTGCCTTTGTTGTGGTTAGGAGTGCAGACTCTAATTTGGGAGAACCGGGTTTGATTCCCCACTCCTCCACATGCAGCTGCCAGTGTGATCTTGGGTCATTCGTAAGTTCTTTCAGAGCTGTTCTCTCAAGGGCAGTTCTCTCAGAGCTCTCTCAGCCCCACCTACCTCACAGGGGGTCTGCTGTGGGGAAGGGGAAGGAAAAGGAGATTGTCAGCTGCTCTGAGACTCCTTCGGGTAGAGAGGCTCACATGAGGGTCCTCCGGCCCACTCGGAGACTCTGGAGGCCGAAGGATTCCGCGGCGGCGGCTTGGCCTTCCCCCCTTCCCCATCCCACCTGCCGCCTTGGGACCCCATCTGTGCACTGTTTCCTTCCCCCTCCGAGCAACTTCCTTCTCGGCCTGGGTATTTTCAGCTACTTCCCTGTTCCCTGATTCCAGGGAGGAGTTCAGCATATTGCTATGTATTGGTAACATATTTCAAGACTGGCATGCTCAGCATTTTCAGAGACTGGTTTTCTTCTGCATAAGCAAAGAACCAAGGGCATCCATATCACTCCGGGGTCTGTTGCAAGACACCCCCCCCCCCCCCCGGTTTCAGGTAAAGCTTCTGGCTACACCAAATACTGCCCCAGGCACAGCATTAGGCTGGCGGGAAGGGGACTTCTGTGCATCCAGTTTGGTGTCGTGCTTAAGTGCGTGGACTCTCATCTGGGAGAAACGGGTTTGATTCCCCACTCCTCCACTTGCACCTGCTGGATGACCTTGGGCAAGCCGTAGTTCTGATAAGAGCTGTTCTTGAAAAAGAGCCGTTTCTGTCAAGAGCTCTCTCAGCCCCACCTACCTCACAGGGTGTCTGTTGTGGGGAGGGGGAGGGGAAGGAGTTTGTCAGCCGCTCTGAGACTCCTTTGGGTGGTGAAGGGCGGGGTATAAACCCAGTCTCTTCCTCTTCTTCATTTTTCAAGGCACAGAGATAGCAGGTTTTGGAACACGGGGTGCACCCCCCCACACACCTGACCCATTCTATTTCCTTGGGGTTGCTGCTTGACTCTGTTGTTAACGGAGAAGATGAACTCCTGCGACTCTCTCCTGTTGCTACAGACTAGGGCCAAGGGCTCCCATCAGAATTTTAACTGGAAGAAGCGGGCCACAGGAGAAGGTGGGAACGCAGTCCTTTGGCCTTGCTGTTGGGAATTACAAGTTGAAAACACTCAGTACATCTGGGGTTAAATGTTTGTTTATGTTACTCACAGGAAGTCACATGTTCCTCATGTAACCAATGTTCTTTAGCTGTAGGAAGCCCGGGAATTTTCTCCCTGATCGAGGGATATGATTGGGACTAAAGTGTCAAGGTGTATTAGCATTTTATGGCTTCTCTTCCCGTCTTTGTTTGGTGTTTCTGAAGAAGAAGGAGAGCAGCCATAATCTCTCTTCTAGTTTTGTCTTTGTAGAGTAAGGATGTAGCCGATTTAGCTCTGTTGTTATTTTCATCCCAGTTACCCTTCCCATGCTAGAATTTAGTAAAAACTTTATATTTTAATCACACATGGACTCTCAGTCTGAATTATTTTACTCTGGCTCTGCTGGACTATATTATCTCTGCTAAATACCATTTTTTCAACATCTCACTATCACCCAACACTTGCCCTGAAGTGACAGGGTCTCCCCCCCCCCCCCCCCCCCGCGCACCCCAGGAAAACGGTTCCTCTAGCAGGGAGGTAGCGCCACCGGCTGGCCATTTGAGAAGAGCCTGCTGGATCAGATCAGGGAGGGCCCGTCAAGTCCAGCATCCCGTCTCATACACTGGCCAACATTTATTTTGCATTTACTTGAAATATTTCTATTCCACGTCCCCCCCCCACCCAAATAGGATCCCCAAGCCACCAAACATCAAACATTGAAAGATTTTAACATTAAAGACGACTAAAATAAAGTATATGTACAATGGCAATTGGAGGGCTTCTACTGCCCTGGCCCCACTGCTGGACCATCTGATAGCCCCTGGTATTTCTGGCCACTGTGTGACACAGAGTGTTGGACTGGAGGGACCATCGGCCTGATCTGACATCGGCTTCTCTTATGTTCTTATGAATTAGATAAGCATATGAAGCAGAGGTCCATCAGTGGCCCCTATTAGCCACAAGGTACAGATAGGGGCTCTGGGGCAAGTGATGCACTGTATTCTTGGTGCTTGGGGGGGAGGGCAACAGTGGGAGGGCTTCTAGTGTCCTGGCCCCACTGCTGGACCTCCTGATGGCACCTGGTGTTTCTGGCCACTATGTGACACAGAGTGTTGGACTTGAGGGGCCATTGTCCTGATCCACCATTGGTTTCTCTTCTGTTCTTATGTCTGGGGCAAGGGATGCTCTGTCTTCTTGGTGCTTGGGGGAGGGGGGCAAGAGTGGGAGGGCTTCTAATGTCCTGGCCCCACTGCTGGACCTCCTGATGGCACCTGGTATTTCTGGCCACTGTGTGACACAGAGTGTTGGACTGGAGGGGCCATGGGCCTGATCCAACATTTGGCTTCTCTTATGTTGTTAAAAGATCAAGAGTCCAGCAGCACCTGAAAGATTCACAAAATTTGTGGCAGGGTAGGAGCTTTCGTGAGACACTGCTCACTTCAGATAACTCACAAAAACTCCTCCCCTGCCACTAATTTTGTTAAGTCTTTAAGGTGCTACTGGACTGTTACTCTTGTCTACTGCTATAGACAAACACAGCAACCTGTCTTGACCTGAGCCCGCTCGCGGGGAGGGCGGCCTATCAATCGGGAAAAAAAAATTAAAAATTGATCAATCTGTAGGTACAACAGTTCAAATAAAACATATAAACAGACATAACACCACAAACTTGGGGGTGCGGAAGGGAAAAGAGTTATTGTTTTGCACGCATGACAGCCAGTTTCAGCCTCAAGGGCTGTTGGAGCCCAGGGGCACCTTTAAGACAACCAAAGTTTAATTCTGGGTTAGAGATATGTGTATCTGAGGAAGTGTGCCGGCACAAGCAAGTGTCTACCGTGAACAAGCCTCTGTGGGTCTTCAAGGTGCCCCTGGGCTCCAACTGTGCTCTGTGGCTTCAGACCTGCACGGCTAGCCCACCTGAACCGACCTCCAGAGTTGTGGGAGGGTGAAAAGGTTGACCCAGGCTCCGGGGGAGACCTGCCTTCCAACCCCCACCCAGCCAACCCCCTTGGCCAAGCATCCTGATGAGTCTCACTGGCCCGCTCCCAGCGACTCCTGCCTGCCTGCCTGCCTGCCTGCCAGCCAGCCTGTATGTGCAGCAGGGCTTGGCTGGTTGCTCCTCCGCTTCCCCCACCCGGGGCCTGCAGCCACGCTGAGGCATAAACCAAGCCAGGAGGAGGACATATGACAAAACATCTGGATATGAGGAGGAGGAGGAGGAGGAGGAGGAGAAGGAGGAGGAAGAAGAAGAGATTATTTCTCTCTCTCTCTCTCTACCCTAGGGAGTCTCAGAGTGGCGGCTTCCCGTCGCCCGCCCTTCCTCTCCCCCCAACAGGCACCTTGTGAGGCGGGCGGGGCTGAGAGAGTTCTGAGCCAACCGGGACTGGCCCAAGGTCGCCCAGCGGGCTGCAGGTGGGGGAGGAGGAGGAGTGGGCAATCCAGGCCTGTCGCTCCAGTGGGGCATCTCGGGGCTAGGTCCTCCCCCAACTTACCGGCAAGGCCCCCCTCCCCTTTCCGGCCCAGGGCCCCTGAGCAGCCGCAGGAGGAGGAGGAGGCGGAGGAGGTGTGGGGAAGGCGCCAGGTCCTCCTCCTGCACAGCTGTCTGGCCTGAAGGGCAGCTAGGGTGGCTCCAGACAGCGCCTATCCACCCCCCC